CTCCAGCCTGGGTGACAGAGTAAGACCATTTATTTTTCTGCTTTGTAAATGGGAGATTTTGGAGTGGTAGTAGTTAGGGAAGTAGGTTAAAAGACAAAGAGAAGCAGAATGAAGGAAAGAAACAGGAAGCCCTCTTCTCTGCCCAGGCAGCATATATCTAACATAGCAGTAGTTAGTCATGCACTGCATAAAGATATTTTGGTCAACAACGAACTGCGTATAGGATGGTGGTGCCACAAGATTATAATATCATATTTTTACTGTACCTTTTCTGTTTAGATAAGTTTAGATACACAAATACCATTGTGTTATTGTGTTACAATAGTATACAGTATTCAGTACAGTAACATGCTGTACAGATTTGTAGCCTAGGAGCTTTAGGGATAGTAGGCTATGCCATCTAGGTTTAAGTGCCCTCTATGATATTAGCACAACAAAGAAATTGTCTAACGTTGCATTTCTCAAAACACATTACTGTCATCAATAGACTCATGATTGTAGATACTATGCCAACTTTGTGGTCTAATTTGGAATTAATGACTCCAAAAGTGGCCATTTTGGAGTTAGCAAAAGGAGAACCTAATGATGTGACAAAGCAAAAGGGAACTGAGGGTGTCCTTATTGAATCCCCTATAAGGCCAAACATGTTACCTGTGCCCAAGGCTGCGTCTGGCTTGAAATGCATTGATCTGCAACTTAAGGCACCACAAAGTCAAGGATATGTCCATTTTTCACCCTAGTTATTCCCAGGGCTAGTATACAGCCCAGTCCAATAAATGCGAAGTAAGTGTTGAATGGATGAATAGCCAAAAAGAAGTAGATTTGTACATTTTCTACTGGAATTGATGATTTAAAGTACAGTATAACTTTATGGGTACATCTTGATGATTTGCTTTGCCATATATTGCTTCTAATTAATAACATTTAGAATGATAATATGTTATACCTGAAAAGGACCTAACAGATCTCTAATCTGACCATCTCATATTACAGATAAGAAACTTAAGGTATAGTTTTTTAAGGCCTAGTTCAGTGGCAAGAAAGTTACTGGAAGTCTCTTTGCTAAGAACATACATTCAATGACTACCACCCTAAGGCTCTTCTCATTCTATTATATCTATTTTTTGAGATGATCATAATAAATGGTGATTTATTTTTAAATCTATATTTATATAGGACTGACACAATTGATGGGTCTATTTTGCCATTTTCTTGTGCAGTAGCAATTGTTGCAGCTGAACTTTGTATCAATTGTCAAAACACTGCCTGTAAATAAACACTATCAAAATAATTTTGTTTTAAATACACAAGCAGAAAAAGCTGTGTCAAATAATGATGGCTAGTTTAAAATAAACAAAATAAGGGCCAAGCAATTTTACATCTGTTGATAAAGATCATGAAGTAGTTTTTTCAAACCCTGAAAAGTTTTCCCTGCAAATAACAGAAAAAGACTCAAATCATAGAAAAGATCAAACTAGAACAACAAAAAATAAGATAATGTTATACTTCAGAATGCTATATTTTAAATCATGTTTTAAAAGACTTCCTTAGATGAACTTAGATGAGGAGATACCAATGTATTTCAATATTAGCTGTTAAAACTGCAACATCTACTTCATTTAATAAATTTTCTTTAGTTCCAACACAGTGGAAATGGCCTTTAAATTAACAGTTATTGAAAGTTCACATGATGACATCTGTTTCATAAGATAAACTTAAGAACCTTTAAAAAAAAGAATTTCAAATAATGCAATGACCAGTATTTAAAAGATATGCATTTTGCATAAAATTATTTAGTTAGTGGGGAATTAGTAGTTTGATATTTTCACTTTTCTATAGTAGTTCAATTGTTTAAACAACACTACTATGAATAAACTGAAATAGTAAAACAAATTTCTAAGCTATATCTTATGATTAAATTTATAGTTAATGGATTATATAACATATTTCACAATGTTATATATGGCATGACATTATATAACATATAATATATAAACATGTAATATATTATATATATTATATAAATTATATATTATATAAATTCATATTTATATATTATTTATTTTGGAGGTGAGATGGAGTTTTGCTTTGTCACCAAGGCTAGAGTGCACTGGTGTGATCTCAGCTCACTGCAACCTCCGCCTCCTGGGCTCAAGCGATTCTCCTGCCTCAACCCCATGTAGCTGGAGTTATAGGCACACATCACTCTGCCTTGCTAACGTTTGTATTTTTAGTACAGATGGGGTTTCACCATGTTGGCTAAGCTGGTCAAACTCCTGATCTCAAGTGATTCACCTACCTTGGCTTCCCAAATTGTTGGGATTACAGGTATAAGCCACTGTGCCTGGCTACATAGTATTTTAAAATCCCAAAGAAAGACATAAACAAAATCCCCTAAAACACAAGTGATAAACAGGTAAAATCAAATTAAACAGCTTAACTTGGAATAAATATATAGACAATTTCAAGAATTTAAAGCCCTGGATTTTCTAACAATATGTGGTCAATCCTCATTATTCATGGATCTTGTCTTTATGATTTGCTATTATCTAAAATTTATTTGTAACCCCAAAATTAATCCTGTGAGATCTCAGGATCCATCTATGGACATGCACAGGGTGGCAAACATGTTGATTTGCCAAATACATATATACCCAGCTGAAGTCAAAGAAGCCAACTTTCTGCCTTCTTTTAGATCTCATACTGTAAACTGGCATCTATTTTGTAGTCTATTTAGTTAGTGCCATGTTTTTCACATTCTTGTGCTTTTTGTTGCTGATTTCACTGTTTAAAATGGCCTCTGACTCATCTGGAGAATGTGGCTGAAAGAAAAGACATTTTAAGAAATAATAAAATGGTCCCTGAGCATAGTGTTGAAGTGCTATCTAGAGGTGGTTTGACGTTCTTGTTTTTTGAGACAGGCTCTCAAGCTGGGTTGCCCAGGCTGGAATGCAGTGGCACGATCTTAGCTCAAGCAACCTCTGCCTCCTGGGTGCAAGTGATCTTGCCACTTCACCTGCCGAGTAGCTGGGACCACAGTTGTGCACCACCATGCCTGGCTAATTTTTTGTATTTTTGATAGAGATGGGGTTTCACCATGTTGCTCAGACTGGTCTCAAAATCCTGAGCTCAAGTGATTCGCCTACTTCAGCCTCCCAAAGTGTTGGGACTACAGGCGTGAGCCACCACGCCCAAGTTCTTAAGCTCAAGATGGCTGTGATTTATCTTATGGAGAAAACACATATGTTAGATAAACTTCTTTCAGGTTTGATTATAGTTCTGCTGGCCATGAGTTCTGTGTTAATGAACCCATCATATATATGAAATAAGGTGTCTTTAAACAGAAACACACTGAAAATAAGGTTATGTATTGATTGGTTAACAAAGATGATGTGACCGCCGGGCGCGGTGGCTCACGCCTGTAATCCCAGCACTTTGGGAGGCCGAGGCGGGTGGATCACGTGGTCAAGAGATCGAGACCATCCTGGTCAACATGGTGAAACCCCGTCTCTACTAAAAAAAAAAAATACAAAAAATTAGCTGGGCATGGTGGCGCGTGCCTGTAGTCCCGGCTACTCGGGAGGCTGAGGCAGGAGAATTGCCTGAACCCAGGAGGCGGAGGTTGCGGTGAGCCGATATCGCGCCATTGCACTCCAGCCTGGGCAACAAGAGCGAAACTCCGTCTCAAAAAAAAAAAAAAAAAAAGATGATGTGACCAGAGGTAGACCTAGGGTTGGAAGCCAGGTCTCCTGAATATGGCAGTGTAAAGAAAGCCTGCCAACATTTCGAGAATGTGAGTAAGATTTGGCTAAAATTAAGGGGGTATATAGAAAAGTCAAAGGAAATCAGGTTAAAGAAATATATATGAGATCGGTTACAGAGTACTTTAAGTAATACAATAAAAAATTTAGATTTTTGCCCCATCAGTCATTTCGAAATTATTTTTTAAGCAATAAAACTTTTTTTTAAAAAAGGTATCTTATGAGATATCAATATGCAAAACAAATTAAGAGGTGGTCTCTCTAATTGAAGCTGTTCCTCTTTCCTGCCCTCAGCCTCTGAGGAGAAAGTTAGAAAATTATCATCATTAGTGCCACCTGTTTTGAACAAGGTGCTATATCAAGTGGCCCAGAGAGAAAGTGGAGGAACCAGCGTGGAGATAGAAAGCAAGAGGCCTGCCTGCCACGGTTACCTGTGGAAAGAAAGGGCAAAGACGCTGTAGGCAAGAGAAGTTCAGGACACAGATGGCATAGCTCAAAGACTCATATTTGAATAGCTGTGGAAGATGACAGTACAATTACCAAAACAGCGAAAGGCACAGGAGGCAGCTACTGGTTTTGATGAAAGACAATGATGTTGTTTTAAATGTGTCTTAGGCATTTAGACATTTATATACACTATGTTATGAACAAATGAATAGAAAGTAGCACTTTTTTCACTGCTAGTTTTCTTTTCTTTTTCAAGTAGATGAAGCAAAAGTCAACTTGCAATAGTCAGAAGGCTGTACTTTGTTATACCTAGAAACTTCTAAAAGTGCTTAGGATTTCACCTCAAAGTCCAACAAGAAGAAAATACATGTTCCCCAGTACCCCATTCTAAATAAGAAAAAGGACCATTTTAATTTTAATAACATTCCTGTTCTCTAGACAGTTTAGATAACTCTTTTTATCTTTAAAAACTGTTTTTCCAGTGATAATTATTCACTTCAAGCATAAGAATACCAAATTATTGTAGAAATACAAGACTTATGGTTCATAAAATACATTATGAAAGTGAGTCTTGTTGATTATGTACATTTCACTATAATAATTCCCATGTATATTATTTCTATTGAGAGTAAGTTACAGTTTTTGGCAAACTGCCTTTGATGAGGGAATGAGGGCTATCTCCTTTTCCTGTGCGTTTCTAAAACTTGTGATGCAAAACGCTCCCGCCCTTTTCTGGGAACACAGAAAGCCTGACTCAGGCAGCTCCTGCTATTAAAGCAGCTCCAGCCCTGCACACTCCCTGCTGGGGTGAGCCGCACTGTAAAGATGAAGCTGGCTAACTGGTACTGGCTGAGCTCAGCTGTCCTTGCCACTTACGTGTTTTTGGTTGTGGCAAACAATGAAACAGAGGAAATTAAGGATGAAAGAGCAAGGGACCTTTGCCCAGTGAGACTAGAAGGCAGAGGGAAATGCGATGAGGCAGGGGAGTGCCCCTACCAGGTAAGCCTGCCCCCCTTGACGATTCAGCTCCCGAAGCAATTCAGCAGGATCGAGGAAGTGTTCAAAGAAGTCCAGAACCTCAAGGAAATCGTAAATAGTCTAAAGAAATCTTGCCAAGACTGCAAGCTGCAAGCTGACGACAACGGAGACCCGAGCAGAAATGGACTGCTGTTACCCAGTACAGGAGCCCCGGGAGAGGTTAGTGATAACAGAGTTACAGAACTAGAGAGTGAGGTTAACAAGCTGTCCTCTGAGCTGAAGAATGCCAAAGAGGAGATCAATGTACTTCAAGATCGCCTGGAGAAACTGAATCTTGTAAATATGAACAACATAGAAAATTATGTTGACAGCAAAGTGGCAAATCTAACATTTGTTGTCAATAGTTTGGATGGCAAATGTTCAAAGTGTCCCAGCCAAGAACAAATACAGTCACGTCCAGGTATGTATAATGCTTTCTTATCATATGTTCATAAATGTTATGTAGCTAGAGTATCTATAAACATTAACCTGAGTCAATAGGTTAAACAGATGACAGATTCAGTCTTATTCATCAAGGTGTACAGGAAAAAAATATCTTCTCAAATGTGACCACAGAAATAACATATGACCTAATTACAAAAATCATAGTTTTGTATCCATTAGAAGTCACTTTCAACTTTGAGATCTTATTTGCTAATGCCAGACCTACATGCAAGCAGAAGTAGAGAGAATTTCTTGTTTGAGTGCATTCAACTTGTCTCTTTAATGAGGTGTTTGAAAGCAATAGAGATAAGGTGACATTCACAATTGTGCCTTGTTTGTTGGAAATCAGTTTTTCTTGTGATTGGCTGACTGCCACTTCTCATGCCTAAAGAGGTCTTTGAAAGATTTTGGCAAGTAATCTGCAGTTCTTAATCCCAAACATCTAGAGAAAATGGGAAATTTTACAGATGGAATACAAGCAGTTTCATATGTGTGCAAAAATTTTTGCTTTGAGACCTAGTGGCACAAAAAATGTTTTAAGCGGAGAGTTTTGGCACACTACTAAGGGAAGGATTATATTCTTCTTTCTCTTTTACCTGAAGCTAGAATTCAAGCAGATAAAAGTAGAGCCCGTCCTCACCATTCAAATTACTTGAATTAACTTTGATAAATACATGTGAAAGACCACAGACTTAATCGCCTACTCTATCCACGAGCTAACAGTGGCATTGGCTCCCCTAAACCTTGGCTTTTCACCTGAGGTACTGGGACCACTGTTGCTGTCTCCTTATACTTTGGAAAGCCATCTCTGCGTTAGGACCTCTACTTGCCATGAATGTGAGGGTAAAGGGACATGGTGGGGATCACTTTCATTTGGAGACAGTATCTGAGGCACACTCCATCCATAAAACTTTCCTTATGGTTCATAAAATTATGAAAGTGAGTCTTGTTGACTATGAACATTTGTCTATAATAATTTCAATGCCTATTATTCTTATTGAGAGTAAGTTATAGTTTTTGGCAAAATGCCTTTGATCTGCCAGTAAAGGAGGAGAGGGTCATAGTTTCAAGGACCACTGTTGCTAATACTCCTGGTAACCTGCATCTTAATGTACCTGACACACTGAGAATCCCAGGTTCACCTCTTAGGTGACATCAGTGGGTACACATTAGATGCTGCATGGCAACTTGTCATGATATGAACCAGACTCTATTATAGTCTGTTTTTCTCCAAAACATTTTGGGGGAAATAACTGAATATTCTGAGCTTTAAATATACAGGAATAGATTTTTATGCCTTAGGTTATCTCATATTAAACTTACCTTATTTGTCAAACATTTTAATAAAAATTATCTGGGAGTAAATATCTATCTTTGATTCATACAGAACCTTGTTAACTGATTACTATGCTTATCCTCAATATAATCACCTGTTGTTTCTTTCTTGAAACACAAAATGTGAAATAGTGGCTAAATACTTCCCTAGATAATAAATACAGAGTAAGAATATTGGTATATTATTGAAAAACATATTTTTCAAGAGCTTCTTTATATAGTTGTCAAGTAAAATAAACATGAATTTATGATCAATGCTCTGCATTAGGATTTTAATACATCATTTGGAATCTATCCTATAAAACCTTCTGACAATAGGGGCAATCAATACCTTTAGGTGAAAGAAAATAGAAAGAAGCCTGTGCTTCATCTGTATGCATGGAATACCGTTCTAGCAGAGTTGGAATAATTTGATTTTTGCCAGCCAGGCCTGAGTTTGTGCCCTGGCTTTGCCATTTAAAGCTTGTGTGAAGTTAGGCAAGCCACTGACCTTTATGCCTACATATCCTCACGTGCAGACTGGCAGTAATGCATACATCATAAGGTCAATGTTCAGATTAAGTGTGAAAATGTTATCCAGTCTTTGGCAGCATGCTTAGAATGTATAGGTGGGCCTCACTAAATAATACTACCTTGTCAGAGCTGTATTTTTATTATTTTCTTATTGTTGTTTTCTGTTGATACTGTCATTATTACCAAGAGTATACTAGAGATCCTTTCTGCTTTATAACATCAGTTTCTTCTTCTGAGGCCTTTTTTTTTTTTCTTTTCCTTTTCCCTTTTTTTTTTTTTTTTTTTTTTTTTTGAGATAGAGTTTTCCTCTGTCCCCAGGAGCCAGGCTGGAGTGCAGTGGCACAGTCTTGGCTCACTGCAATCTCCGCCTCCTGAGTTGAAGCAATTCTCCTGCCTCAGCCTCCCTAGTAGCTGGGACTACAGGCGCACGCCACCACGCCCAGCTAATTTTTGTATTTTTTAGTAGAGACAGGGTTTCACCATGTTGGCCAGGATGGTCTCGATCTCTTGACCTTGTGATCTGCCCACCTTGGCCTCCCAAAGTGCTGGGATTACAGGCATGAGCCACTGCACCCGGCCCTTCTCAGGCCTTAACAAGCATTCACTAAACAGGTTGAAGTAAGTTTGGTAGAGGAAAGTTTCATTATTGCCATTGATTGAATTATCGAACTGCTTTTGTACATATAAATAATTTTTCAGATGCATAGTTTCTATTAACAAGATCCAATGCCTTCCTTTTCTTCTGCCTTCAGTTCAGCATCTAATATATAAAGATTGCTCTGACTACTATGCAATAGGCAAAAGAAGCAGTGAGACCTACAGAGTTACGCCTGATCCCAAAAATCGTAGCTTTGAAGTTTACTGTGACATGGAGACCACAGGGGGAGGCTGGACAGTGCTGCAGGCACGTCTCGATGGAAGCACCAACTTCACCAGAACGTGGGACGACTACAAAGTAGGCTTTGGAAACCTCAGAAGGGAATTTTGGCTGGGGAACGATAAAATTCATCTTCTGACCAAGAGTAAGGAAATGATTCTGAGAATAGATCTTGAAGACTTTAATGGTGTCAAACTATATGCCTTGTACGATCAGTTTTACGTGGCTAATGAGTTTCTTAAATATCGTTTACATGTTGGTAACTACAATGGCACAGCCGGAGATGCTTTACGTTTCAACAAACATTACAACCACAATATGAAGTTTTTCACCACCCCAGATAAAGACAATGATCGATATCCTTCTGGGAACTGTGGGCTATATTACAGCTCAGGCTGGTGGTTTGATGCATGTCTTTCTGCAAACTTAAATGGCAAGTATTATCACCAAAAATACAGGGGTGTCCGTAATGGGATTTTCTGGGGCACCTGGCCTGGTGTAAGTGAGGCACAACCTGGTGGCTACAAGTTCTCCTTCAAAGAGGCTAAAATGATGATCAGACCCAAGCACTTTAAACCATAAATCATTCTGTTCATTCCTCCAGGTATTTGTTATCTAATAGGGCAACTAATTCCTTCAGCACTTTAGAATATGCCTTGTTTCATATTTTTCATAGCTAAAAAATGATGTGTGACTGGTAAGTTCTTATGCCACACAGCATTTGAAATAAAGCAGAAAAATAATACATTTTAAAGGAATCCTTTGCTGTTATGCTGTTATCCAATGAACACTTGCAAGCAATTAGGATTACTGAGATTATACATTACATTTATACTTCTTTTAATTTCTATTAATTGAAAAGTTTTCTATTGCTTATTGCTTGTATTACTTGCTATATTTAAAAAATAATTGTTGGTTGGGTGCAGTAGCTCATGCCTGTAATCCCAGCACTTTGGAAGGCCAAGGCAGGCAGATCACTTGAGGTTAGGAGTTTGAGATCAGCCTGGTCAACATGATGAAATGCTCTCTCTATTAAAAACACAAAAATTAGCCAGGCATGGTGGTACATGCTTGTAATCCCAGCTACTCGAGAGACTGAGGCAGGAGAATCGCTTGAACTCAGGAGGCAGAGACTGCAGTGAGCTGAGACCACGCCACTGCACTCCAGCCTGGACAACAGAGCACAACTCTGTCTCAAACAAAATGATAATAATAATAGGCTTATTCCATAGGCTAGGTTCTACACAAAGTAATCTGTATTTGGGCTATGACTTGAACACATCTGAAGGTATACCACTCTTTCCAGGCTATAATTATTTGGGTAATCATTCTGAGACAAACTTACTCAATTTATAGCATTTACTTTGCAACAGAAAGACCCTATAGCATTTTAGTTCCCAGACTAAGGGAACTAATATATGTAATTAAACTGGTTCATCTATTATTCATGCAATGTAAAGTATTTTTTATTCAAACTGTTTTAAAATGTGGTAGCATAATGTCACTCCAAAAAGCTTTCAGAAAGCGATGTAACTGTAAAGACCAGAGTTTAAAGGTAATTCACTTACAGTTTATAACTCCTTAGATGTTTGATGTTGAAAACTGTTTAACATGAAAGTTATCTTCCTCTGCTCTGTGTGAACAATGGCTTTTAATTTAAGATTGCTCACTACTGTACTAGACTACTGGTAGGTTTTCTTTTCAGGGAGTAGGGGCACGTGGGGAAAGAAGCATTTACTTATAGGCTATCATACTTTGAGGCCAATTTTATATCCAAAGTGATAATATCATTAAGTGATTCATTTCATAGAAGGCTAAGTTTTTCTAGGACAAATAGAAAACGTGAATTTTGAAATATATAGAGCAGTAGTCCAAATACTATGTATTTCAACCTTAACTTGTGGATTGCTTATTTTAACATCAGAAATTAAAAGATAGATTTTTTTTACCCAAACAAAAGTATCTGTAATTTTTATAATTCATTCACTAGTTCTGGAATGCTATATATAGTATTTAAAAAACTTTGAAAATGTGTTAAATTCATCATTATAGAAAGGGATCATTTCAGAGAGAACAGCAATATTCCACCTATTTAAAAAAATGCTCTAGAGTAACATTTGAAGTAATTCACTTTAGTATATGCTAGTTCTAGCAATAAATTTTTTAGTTTCTGGTGTCCATTTCTAATACACTAACCAAGCTTTCAAAATATATTACAAAGATTTATCTATCATTTGAAAAATGATTAAGGAGGATAGTTGCTTCAGGTAACAAGTTAGTTTTCAAATATTAGGCCCTTACAGAAATATTTAGTCAAAAAGAAGCAAGATATTCCTTTAAAATAACTTTATGGGTTTATAACTTTAACCCAAAGTCTTCAGTTAAACATGATGAAAATTATCACAAATATTATTAAAATCTAAAAGCAAGAGAAATGCAAATAGCATTAAATGATGACCAAAATGTAAAATATTGTAGATTTCAAAAGCTGTGTATCTATTAGATGGTATACCAAATATAAATGACGTAACTGATTTTATTTTTTTACTTTTGCTTTTTTAAAAAAAAGTAAAAACATTTTGATATTATACAATGTATTTGTTTCAGATAAGGTCATTTTCATTTAGAATAATTAATGTATGTATAAGTTTAAGCAAATTCCTGTGAGTAAAAATGGACTTATCATAAAATACAGTTCTAAAGAAAGGTATATGCTCATGTACAGAGTGTCCATTGATTTAATGGGAACTAGGTATAACTTCAGGAGTATTTGGCAAATAATTCACTAATAATAATTTGAATATGTAAATATTCAAAAACTTGTTTGATCTTCCACTTTATTTCAAGGGATCATTTTTCATTACACTTTTGCAGCACTTTAGTAAATTCTGTAACACAGAGATTCCTTACTGGAATCATTTCATGTTACCAATAATAAAATATATTCTAGACTTTTATAACATTTAACATGTTGATGGAAATAGATTATATCTGCTAGAGTCTTTTGCCTTAACTATTCGCTAATTATGCTAATGTTCATAAATGTGGATTGACTATT